GGAATGATTTTGGTCAAAGCAGAGTTGCCCACGAAAAAACAGCGGTGTCCGGTCGTGGAGATGGAGGCAAGGTCGTCCTCACAAGAAAAGATGCTCGTGTACAAACCAGGTTTCCATGTCAGATGGCCAAGTATGTTGGGGATGATCATTCATATTAAATAAGTGACAAAAAGGTCTTCCACTTCTCATCAGTTGAGAAGTTCGTCCACTTGCACTGCTTTGTTATTGGATCTTCGGTGTTTCATCACGTTTTAGCCCTATCGATGCGGCGGATGTCGTTTGGCGATTGACCGGTCGAAGCTCGTCCCCTCGTCTCGTGCCAGGGCCGCGATCCGATCGGACGCAGGCCCCGATTTGATCCGGATGGTGCGCGCGGTTCGGCCGTCAACGGGTGTGGGCTGTGCCAGCGGAACCTGTGGAATAGGCAGTTTACAGTTTTCCCTGGGATGTTCGGAATAGGCATTGAGTTGATCAGAAACATCCTGAGTCTGTAATTTAGCATGTTGAAGCTGAACAGTCTTGAACACCTACACCAGATTGCTGAAAGGCTGTGGCAATGGTCTCCACATTGACATTCAAACTCACGGGCCCACCAATGGCTAATCACATCCTCAAAACAGCCTTGATCCACTGAGACCAATGAAAACCGGAGCTCCAACTCGATCGTCCAACTCGCTGTCCGCTGTCTCTCCCTGGTCCAGGCCTTGGAGTCGCGACTGCAAGACCTCCTGCGCCGCTGGCGACCCTGAGATGCGCGGAGATGCTGTTCAACGCGTGTGTTCCGTGAAAGCAGATGCTGTTCAGAGCCGTGTTGTCCGCAGAGAGGCTGAACGTTTGATCAGCAGGCTTCCAATAACGCCCTGGTGGTCCAGGTTGAGCGTCCCGACGAGTGGGTCGAGGTGGTTTGTGTGGAAGCAAAATATCACTGGGTATCGGTATCATCAATCATGTGATGTTCTCTATTTCAGGATAAAAGGTCATAAAAAGGTCATAGAGTCATAATTGGTCAACGACTGTTATGTATTTCAGGTGGTGCATCAATCATAAAAGGTCGTAAATGTAGTTGCCAGGGTCTTCAGTCGGTAACACCTGCGGCGGCTGCTCTGACGCTGATAACAGACCTCGTTTCAGGATGATGCTACAGACAGAGTCCATGATGGACTCAGCTCTCAGAGCTTTTGGAGAGATGTGGAAGCGCCCATGGACTACTTGGAAATGGCTGATGGAGAATGGCTGGAGTTTCCCATGTTGGAAGTTTGATGGGCGCAGGACTCCTCATCAACCTCAACGTTTTGTTTGAAGAATTCCCTGTCCCTTTGGAATTCTGAATTCTGACCATATAATATATATATATATATTGGGAACTGGGAGAATTTGCTGAATGAATCACCCGTTTGCTGGTGGATGTTTCCCTCTCGTCCTGGTTTCACCAGTGGCCTCTCGTCCCCCCCAACGTTCGTCGTCCTGTTCGGTTGCGGCAAAGACACGGATTCTCCAAACAGATTCTGGATGATTCTGGTATATATTTGTATGTTTTGTGGGTCTGTCTGTCCCATTACCTGCAACAGTTGGGGGCCACAAGAACATCACGTACGTGTTTGTACTTGTTTTTCAGGCCCGCAGCCGAAACATAATCATCCACTGTTGCTGGGAATAGGATAGACCCTACAGATTCTGGTATATACTTACGTGTAGTTTGGGTGAGGTCCCACCACCTGCAACAGGCCTGGAAGAAAAATACATCACCCACTGTATATGATGATCTATAAAATATAGATTCCAATAGGGTGTCTCCCGATTCCAAGCAATTCTAGCTGCTAGCTGGCGGACCTGATTTTTGTTCGCCTCCCATACTCGCCAGGACAGGACAGTTTTTCATGGTGACCAGGCGCTTGAAGGGGGGTTCACACCATCAACAAGTTCTGCAATACCCCCAACCATAGCAAATTGGCTTAGGCTGGGTTCTAGTTCTACTGAGGTTGAGGTATCACTTGAAGGTTGGAGATATACCATCTTAAGGCCCCCCCAACTGGCCGGCGTTCCATCCTCCACGACCAAAAAGAGGTCAGACCGCATCGGTGGCATAGTTCGGCTGCCGGAATTGGTGTCCACTCGTGTCATGAAAAACTCCTGATGGAGGACAGCTTTTCTATGGGCAGAAACAATCTGAGAATTTCTGTGGCCGGTAGCGCAGAAGAGATCAGAATCAAGGAGAAAGCCTCCTCCAATTTGTACTGATGTGAGTGGCAAGCAAGACAGCCCCGGAACGAACATCGAGGGGTCGAGCATCGGGGCTTCACAGAAGGCTCCGGACTGGAGCGTCGGTGGCGAAGATGGTAAGGACTATGAAATGCTTTTCGCCGAATCAGGTGACTGCGCACGTGTTACATTCCCGAAGAGTGACGGATCATGGCCCCTTCTGTTTTCTTTTTTCAGCGAGTCTTCTTCTTGAGACATCGAGTCCAAAACCTGCATGAGACCTGTTCCGGTGGCCGGGTTTGACCATCCAATTTGGACACCTTCATTTGGACAACTTAGAAGCAATGGCCTCCAACCTACTGGCGATGGCCCGTATTTTCCATGTCTATTAGGTTGGAGGCCACCGCAAGTAGCTTGGAGGCCATTGCTTCTAGGTTGGAGGCCATCGCTACCAGGTTGGAGGCCGTCGCTAGTAACTAGTAGGTTGGAGTTGGAGAGTGTGCCCGGAGAGAAGAGCAAGACATGGAAAGCAATGGAGATGAGAGAACGTTGTATGGAGATGAAATGGAATGCTTCTGGTCCCAGTCTTTCCACTGCACACATATATGTATATATATACAGTGTATGATTTGATCTGATATGATATATATATATATACACACACATCACGTCTTTATCATGCCACACATCTCTTGATGAGGGTGTGAATTCTTCAAACCGTATTCTCTCGTAGTTGTGCATGCTTCAGTGCGAATTCTGAAGAACCACTGAAACTTGAAACGTTGCATGTTCTGAAAGAGATGTTCTTCTGTGAGAAGCGAATCCACAGAGGCCCGCAGCAGAGAAGTTCGACCCATTTGACCACCAGTTCAGGAAGAGGGCATCAAAGCAGGTTCCACCATCCGAAGACCTCCAGCCCCTCAGACAACTGCAGCTTTGACACGCTTTCCCTTCCACCAGGTACCGGTAATGTCATGGGGGTGCATCTTCATTATTCTGACACACACCCAGTTGCTAGTAGGTGCTTGTACTTGGCAACGCACCCGCCTAGCACCATCGTTAATGCTCGCAGCAAGACAATAGCACCATTTCGCAAGATGCTACTTGCATCGCTCTATGCACTTTGCAGTCATTCGAATGGACCTTACTGACATTGGCGATTCAACAGCGGCTGGTATTTATGTTGATGACATTCTCTGTAGGCCAGTGTGCAGGAAACCACTAGAGTGAGGCTTAGTTAGTGCTTGGTGAAATCCTGCATTGGTTGAACGGCGGCTTGGACTGAGCGACCAAGTCTTTGATTAGTCTCGACTTGTTGAGAAGGGTGCAGGGGCGCTAGGATCGCGTTTGCTCTTCCTGCCACTCAGACTGATTCAGACCTGCTGAGGCAAGGCTCACACCCAGGGAGATCAGCTTGGCGGACTCGCCTCAAACTCTTTAGTTCTCCGATGAAGTTGCCGCCTGCTACCAAAGTCGTTGTTTGAGAAGTATTCCGTCTATGGTGCAGGCTTTCAAAGATCTATGCCAGAGTGCTTGGTTGGCCGGAATCCTTGTTGTCCACTCCCCACTAAAGGTATGGATGATGATAGAACCATATAGAAACCCTTGAACTTCACTTCGCTGATTGACGTTTCCTGCGCCGTCTTGGACCGAGCCGGGGCGCACTGGTGAAGTTCTCCGCCCCAGGCCGAGTGAAGCTCTCCGAAGCTTGTGCGTGTTGATGTGTAGGTCTGGCCTGATCGAACAGAAATCCCCAGAACAACCACAGAAAACACTTCAACACGAAAAACTTTGTTCAATTTGACGTGCATGTGGCCATGCACCTGTGTTGGTCGGACTCGGCTTTCACCCTGGCCCCGTGGTTCTTTACGAATTACAGATTACCCGCTGAGCCAATGTGGTGTTCCGCTTGAATGATGTGAGTAGTGTCAATCGCTGAAACGTCTTCTTGGCAAATCTGGGCAAAGTGAGTTTGGCATTTTGGACAACCATTTTCAATTCACAAAAGACGCCACGCAGGTATTGAAAACGGAGGGTTGGAGGTCCGAGACAGCAATGGCGCGCGAAAAAACACACACACAAACACATCGAACGGATCACTTTTCGGACGAACGGACTGAGCATGAAAACACGGAAGGGCAACACCAAAAAGTGTATCGCTCTCGCAGGGACATTTTGAAAGCTGTCGCATCGCGGGCCTACGGACACTTTAGTGCCCAGGGAGAAACAAAGGTTGAAAACGGAAAACGCCACACGCCCTCCGCCAACAACACCGACAGGAATTGTCAGGACTTCCCGAGCGCCCTTCGTGCCAGTGGACCCAGGGAAGACCCAACGAGGGACTGGGGGCCGTGGTGAACGATGGACGGACGGGACAGCTGGTGAATCGGACACTCGCGTCCAGGACGTATGAAAAACGAACAACCATCTTAATGATATTGTATGATCGTCTTTAGAGGACACAAATTTCTGCGTGCCGCATTTTGCAGAAGAGGTCGTTCAACTGAAGAGGTTGTTGGGCAACCAAGTGGTGGTTGATCTCTTGGTCCAGCGGTCTCAAGTCTCTCGTCACCCAGTTTGCAAGCGAAAACACCTGACCAAATAGATCTAAAGCGTACTAACCGGCCATGTGAGCGTTTTGCCTCAGAATCAGCATCATAGTTTGTGACACGTTGATCTTTGTTTGAGGTTTTGATGTGTAAGATTGCAATTCTGTAGAGGCATCTCCTGTCACAGATCACAATTCAAGTTCTGGAAACGTCGCCTCCCCACAGTGGTCGGAGGTATGGTGCTGTGCACCTATGGGATTGCCCGGATGCCGAGAGTGAGTGGCCTAAAGTGAGTGGCCGAGTGGAAGCAGGAAGTTCTTGGGACGAACATCCTCCGGCGACTTGTATGATGGTTGGACAGGCTTTTGTGAACTGGACACTCGTAGTTCTTCTTCGTCTCACTTTCCTTGTGTTAAGAGACTCGTTGGGGCATGAGGGCATGAGGGCGGAGGGTCAGGCTGCTCTGTGCCTAGGCGATGTTCGACCTAGGATGAAGTGGGTTTTAAGGTCTATTTAGGCAGATCCCTCTACATGTCCAGCCCCCCAGGTCGATTCATACCTCTTAGATTGGGCCTGGTCGTTCCCCCTTTTTTTCGGAACCCCGGTTGGGTCGTGGGTGGACCGATCCTGTCCTGCCGCCAGGCTCGTTCTTCATGTACTGTCACTCGTGGCGGTGGAAGGCCGTTGGGCTCGCGAATCACTCGTTCGCTCGGACAGAGCCCCGCACAGCCCTCGTAGCGTCCGGTGACGCTCCATTCGAGTCGCTTAAGGCCTAAGGTTCCTAGTAGCGATGCCAGGAGCCCCCGTTCGTAGCGTCCGAACGCTCCTAGTAGTAAGGCCAGGAGCCCCTAGGTCTTCATTTGGGCTCTTTTGAAATGGCCATGTCCACATGAGTGGTGGTTGTTGGGCCTCCGCAGAGCCTCCAGGAGTCATGAGAACGATGTTAGTTTGATCATGTTTCATCTCAATGACAGAGCCATGGATGCCGTGTGTTTCATGTGGGTTTTCCTTGGTATTAGACTGTTGGTTCAGATTTCTTTGATGATTTCCAGGTCTGTGAGTGGTGTTTGGACGGCATTTGTTCTTCCTTTGGCATTGCCATTGTCCGGGGTGAAGACAAAGACCTGATATAGGGCCACCGCACTTTGGATGCTGATTTGTTTGAAAGTCCTCTAGGTTTGGGGCTGTAGGCCATGTTGTCGAATGGAAGCTGCTTGGAGAGACTGCTTTTGTCACACCGATTTAAGAAGCTGGATGTCTCGCTTAGTTCCTCAGGTCCATCTCCGAGCTGAGCAGGTCACGCGGCAGTTCTGAAGCCGTCAGCTAAGGTAGCACCCATGATTCCACCCAACACGCGACCAGATTCATAGACAGCAGAAGCCTTCAGCGACAACAAGAAGCTAGTAGAAACAAGTGCCACGCTAGCAGTAACAGGTGCCTTACTAGTAGTAACAAGAAGCTATTAGAAACAAGAAGCTAGTAGAAACAAGTGCCACGCTAGCAGTAACAGGTGCCTTACTAGTAGTAACAAGAAGCTATTAGTAACAAGTGCCACGCTACTAGTAACAAGTGACTTACTAGTAGTAACAAGAAGCTATTAGAAACAAGAAGCTATTAGTAACAAGTGCCACGCTACTAGTAACAAGTGCCTTACTAGTAGTAACAAGAAGCTATTAATTTAGTTTATATATGTTAAATCAATCTTCCTAGACTGGTGCCAGGTTCTTCACGAGCAGGACACCCCAGACGTTTTCGCTGAGCACAGCCGGCAGAGTCGACACCCGGGATGGAAACGTGGGCGACTCCAAAACCCGCCAAGTTGGCGGGTGCTAAGACCAGTTGTCTACAGGGCTGCGCAGGGTCTGAAGGGTGGCGGAGGCCGCGGAGGCCCCCCCGAAAAACTCGGGACCTTAAAATACTTAATATAACATTATATAACTTATTAGGTGAGTAACCAAGCAGGGGTCGCTGACGGTCCCTGTCTTCCTGTGACTGAACATCTTCCCTCTCCAGGGGTCACCCTGGTCCGGCTGATTTTTGCAGCTGAGTGCCATGTGATGGAACATCCCACAGAGTCCGGAAGACGAAACACCCGACCAGTCGCCTGTGCTTCACCAAAGAAATGATCGTTTTTTTTTTTACCGAACATCTGTTTTACTGAGGGTTTTTACACTACAAAAGGTGAGGCCATTGGTTCGTTCTCTCAGCGTGCGCGATACACAAAAGGAGGTCCAACCGTCCAGCGGGTTCTGCGAGCCGGGCAGCTAGCCGGACAGCGCCGGTCGCGCGCGACCAGCACCAGCAGTGGCACCGAATGCTGAGGCCATCATCCGCCACGGTGAGAGGCGCGGCGATGTGGGTTGAGGATCTGCCAGGTCGCCGAAGAGTTGGCTCGGTTTGCCAAGAATTTGGCCGCCAAGACCATGATTGGTCAATCATTTTTGAAAAGCCATCATTTGGAAATCCAAAGGCCAACTCTTTCCGAAGAGCTGGCTTTACCCTGAATAGATGGGGACCCAGTTTCGTTTCCAACCCATCCTGGTGAGTGAGTAGGGGACGAGACGGTTTGTCTTCACCAGACCAAGTGTGTTAGCTGGTACTTGGTGTGTAAACATGAAGGTGTGTCCACTTCCGTTGATTATTTTCAGCCGAGGACCAGCTGGTCTAACATGAGGCAAATCAATGGTTGGTTCCCTTTCTTGAAAGTGCCCCCTGGTGTTGGCGGGTTTGCAGCAGGGCAGGAGAAGACCCTCAACCACTTTGATTTTTGCAGATTTGTATACAATTCTATAAATATAAACGCATCCGTGCAACCTCGCAGACCATTTGCCCTACAGTAAATAAACCGGAGGGAGATGTGGAGAGGGGTCCTGTCAACTTTCAAACAGTCTGATGTGAACGTTTTCATTCTCAGACCTGTAGAGGTTTCTTGGTAAACGCAGCTTCCCTCCAGGCTAAGCTTGGATCAGAGCCCAGAGGCCGCAGGCATGGGCGCCTCGAAGTCAGCGAGTGGGCGTTGTCGCTTCTGCACAGCGTCGAGACCTGTCCAGACTCGTCTGACGTCCAACACATTGCTACGTTCGTAGCTTCTTGTTACTAGTAGTAAGGCCAGGAGCTACGTTCGTAGCGTCCTTGCTCCGTTCGTAGCGTCCTTGCTCCGTTCGTAGCAGTAGCTTCTTGTTACTAGAGCTTGTAAATCTGGTGGTGTGCTGTTTTTCGTCTCAAATGTCCATCGAGTAAAAGATTTGGGGGCTCTTCCCAGTCCTCAAATCTTCTGTTCTTCCTTTTTATTGGGCATTTGACAGCTGGTCGACCAGTCCAGTTGGTTTGTGGGGAGAAATGCGAAAGCGGGATGCACTCCCTGAGATCATCATCGCTACGCGGATGGCGCCACCTGTTTGGTCAGACCGGACAACGTCATCCTTTCGGGGCCTGGCCGCCATCCGCATCCGCATCCGCTGGTTTTTTTGTGGCTTGCCACGGCCACATTTCGAGACCAAAACCATCCGGTTATACGTAGTATGCGTTTTAGTGTTTAAACACTTCTGCTATAGAGCTTTTCTTTTGTCTGGTTGCACGACGCAGAGGTTGGTCTCTTCAGGAGTCTGAGAGTCTCTCCGAGTGGTCGATGGGAAAGTCAACGGGTATCAGAGATGCTGACACGTAAAGTATTTCCTGCAGTACAAAAAGTCTAAGTTGTCAAGAGAATGTTTAGCACAAAATTGGAGGTCATGGATACGTCATAGCCTGAGTTCCTCTTAAATGGATAGTATTCGTGCTACTCTACTTCGTTTGAAGCACATACACGTGCAAAATGGTTGTACAGCACCTTCTTGAAAGACCAGACAAGCACGGACATTTGTAAACCTGCCTTTGGCAAAGGTCGATTGCCCGAAATGTAGAAACATTCAAGAATGCCAAAGATGTACAGTCATGTTGTGACCATGTAAATGCCATTCCATCTTGACGTTCGAAGGTAAGGATCAATGCGTAAGGATCAAGCGATTTGTGTATAATATATATATATATATATATATTTGTTGATTTCAGTTGTTGATCCATCCCATTGTTGATACGTCTGAGGGATTGTCCCGCGTTTGAGCATGTTTGATCCATCCTCATCTCCAGTCGATCGTCACCTCACGGACAGTGCAGGGACAGCTACGGAGGCGCCTGTTGCAGGAAGCTGAGCTCTCATCGGGTTGTGTATCAACACGTCACATGGAAGCTGTTTAAATGCCCTCTAAGGGGTGTCTAGCAACTGCTCCTTGGAGGTTAAGGGGGTGTCCAATTTGCCATTGTAGAGTAGAAGAAATCGTTTTCCCCACCTCTTTCTGACCCGCCATTCAGGTTTGTTCGAACAGATAGCTGTTAGGTTTGGGGGGCGAAACTGTAGCTTGTCATACTGGGATATCTTCGGTCTGAGGTTGAAATCTCTGGACGCTGCATCACAGCATCAACTCCAAAGTTGGTGAAGACTGCACTACTCTGGGCAGAGGGTCCCTAGCAGCATCTACCAATAATCAGAATGTTTGGGATTTGTGGGTTCAATCTCCAAAGCAGGCGGGATTTTCAAATGTTCGATGTTGAGCTCTTTTCGATGTAGGTCGGCTGACCGGCTGACCTCATGAATACTTCATCCCTTCACCTCACGCCCAGCAGACCTTGCGTCGACCGCCAAGGCTAGAGAAGTGGATGCCTTTGGTCGTTGCACCATCCCCATGTGGAATGCCCGGGACCGGAAGAATCAGCGGCCCGATTCGGGCGACCGGCACGGTGCGCGGTGCGCAGTGCTTTTGCGGGAGACACTCGATCGGCAGAGGTGGCTGTGGGTGGTTGCTGTGCGGGGGTGGTTTCTTGGGTTTTGAAGCGCAGATGGGTGTTTTATGGTGTGTGTACTGTTCATCCCAGTTTCATCCGGTGAGACGAGATGAGTCTTGCAAAGCTACAATTACTTCAGCTGAAGCAGCGTGGGAATCCACTCAGCAGGCTGTGGGTCAAAACCTGCCCGACCAATCATGGTAGGTGGACATCGCTGGTAGCCGCTTGTAGAGGAATCTCTTCATTTTCAAGGGTCAAGCAGGGTGCCAGGGTTTCCTGTACAGTATGGCCCTTCGTCCAAAAATCCCACCAATGTGCGGTCCAAGTCCTGGCACTGATCCACTTTCACAATTTACCTGTTTTTGCCGGATTCCTTGCGATGTGGATGTACACGAGCTGACACAACGCCCTCGGCACCTCCGGTGCGGGCGGACTTGTTAAAACAGACCTTTGGAGCCACCTCGCGAGTCCTTTGAGCATTTTTCATGAGCATATAGTCCATGCACCTGAAGGAGAGTTGATGGATGAGGCATCAAGTCAGCTTGACGGATCCAACTGATCTGATCAGATCACTCATCGGTTTCGGACATTGGAACTTTGGAATCAGATCTGAACACCTTCCAGTGAATGGAATCCTGTCGATCGCATCGCCCCGGCAGGATTTCGCATGCGACGAGTCGGGCAGCCGAATTGGTGGAAAGGGACGACACTCATTTGGGGTATATGGAGAATGACTCACAGAATGATGCCTTGGCATCCATTCAAAACAAACAGGATTTGGTGTTGGATGGTTTGAATTTGAATGATCCCAACCAAAATGCTGGACCTGGGCCAAGGTAGCAATTGTGTTCGTTATGACCCTCCCTCCAACAAACACGGAAGTGCAACATTCCCCCCTTAAAAGCATGTTTTCGCCACTAACGGGATTTTCCACTTCCAGGATTGTTTCAGGGAGGGTATCATAGTTCCCAGAGCCTGCTTCGACAGGTTGTATCTTAGCAAACAAATTGCAGGCGTTACAAGTTTATTGCTACCACATCAGCTACAAATATTGCTTGTTCAAGAAAGGACATGTTCTCTTTTGCATGCATGCATGTGACTCGTGTTTACATCTCCACCGCACCGCCCAAGTCCCACATCTCAGGCATTTGCAGGTGGAGGCCATTAACATGTACGAAGACTCTCGAGGACGGGTGGTCGGTCGCCTGGTCGCGGGGGGGGCGAAACGCGAGGGAAACCGCCCTGGCTGTCGAGTTGAAAGAGGGGACAATGCGTGTAGTGGAACTCTGGTGAGAACCAGAACAGCTGAACAAAGGATGTCTGCATTTGGTGGGACGCGGGCAATCACAAAGAGAAGCCTCTGTCGCCTTGCGGAATATGAAGATCATGGCACAATGAAACACATGCCACTTACAGTAGTAGGTAATCACGTGGTCAATTGGCCAAAAAGCAGAAGCAAGCCACGTTTGCAAGATAGGATGCAGGCGTTGGTAAACTAAACAACCGACTCAATCCGAAGACGCGCGACCGCTTCACCAAATGTTCGAACGTGTGGTTAGAAGACGCTTACCAGTCGAACGAACATACTGTGCCTTCAAACTCTTCACATTTCATACGATGTCTCCCACGGCTTTGGCATTGGTCAAAGCAGTTTTGGGGGGATCAGTAAAGAATGGATCGATCACAGACACATCATCAGCCTTCACAGCTCATCGGGATCGCTCATCGGGCTCGCTCATCACTCTGACAGCAAAGCATGGGCCGCGCTAAGCTCTGCCGCGCGCCCCTTTTTGTTCGGATCGTTGGAGGCCGGCTCCGCAAGAAGATGGACGATGGGCAAAGTTGCACCGTTGCTGGGTGAAGGTTTTTTTCTTTATTGGGTGATGGGGGACAGATGTCGTGAACATACAGTTGTCCCATCATGTTGCTCCACGATAGTCACTATAGGAACCTTGGAAGTAGAGAAATCCAAATGATTTGTTTGCTCTTTCCCTGGGTTAGCTTCCAAGTTGGTCCTGTAGATGGATCACCATCTTTTCACAGGGTTGAGGGCAGGATGAACTGATGAGCAATGTGTAAGTCCTCTTTTGGCGACCTATTGAAAGGGTATCTTGATCCATCTTAATCCTAGAGCAGGTTTCCTGAGTGAACCTCAATTTCCATAACCTTTGATGACCCCGTGGGTATCCTTTCAATAAGCTCCATTTCCTGGGCCGGACTTGCCGAGATCCGATGTCCAGACGCACGCTGGTGGCAGGCGAGGGAAAACGAGTGGTCAGCTGACTTTGTCTGAAAAGGGCTGCAAACGTAGCAGTCTTATGCAGGATTGAAAGATGATGCTAGTTGCTGGCAATTGCTGTATGAAGCTTTTGCCAGTCTGTGCAATAAGCTTGTCCAATTCGGAACTCACACCACCATCTGTGCATGGGCGTGGATGGGGATTATATTATATATTTGGTAGTTATATATATGATATAATATGATATATATATATATATACATACAGTAATACGTATACATATCCATGCATACGTATATGCTAGGTGTGTTTAGGCCTGGCAGGCGCTGGGTGCACACTCCATCACTGAATCTCACTGGCATGCATTTCCGCTCACTCAGGCTTCAGTCACCATCTTAATTGTCTGTCTCTAGGTCCTTTCCTGATCTCATCGCAGTGGCCATGATCTTCACTCCGGCAGAAGAACGAGTTTTGGATGTGCTCTCTGCCAAAGGCTTTGATGCCCGTGACCTTGCTGGTTTGACCCTGGAGGAGTTACAAGACGAACTGCCTACTGAGGTCCCTGAACCGATTCTGGAATCACTACGCAAAAAAGTTTGGCACCTCCATTGCAAGCCTCGCATGCACACCTGGAAGCAGCTTCTTCCATCAGGTCCATGTCCCCACATATCTTCTTCGGCTTCTGCTCCCGCACGAGGCCTTCTCAAGCCAACGGGACCGCATCAGCCAACCGTATCCAGCACGCGGCAGTATAAGCACCAGAATGTTGCAGTGGCTCTGGTCGAGGCTGTTCTCCACCCAGGCCTGAGCTTTGCCATGGAAGACCTTCAACGTTCCGGGACAGCCCGCGAGGTGTGGATTACCACCACTGCTGAATCCTTGCTCGCGCGCTTTCAGCCTGGAACGCTCGCTGCTGTCCTTCGGACTTGGAACCGGCTTGTGCAGTGGCAGCTTGAGACCGAGGCCGCCCTGGGACCAGTCAGTGATGTCCTTCTCCACCAGTTCCTTCAGGCGCAGGGACGCAGAGGTCGCACAGTACCAGCTTCAGTGTACAACCACCTACGATGGCTCACTGACAACTTGAAAGTCTCCTTCCCGCTGGACTCGCCAATGTTGAAAGACTTTACTGCCGCTTCCGGTGCCACCACTACCTGGCCTACGCAAGTGAAAACTTTGTCTGCTCAAGTTTGGAGGCATTTGCTGCAGTTGGCCACATCCTCTTCTACGTCGTCCCTTGCCCTGGCCGCTGGCTTGGTCATTCGCTTCGCAGTTTCTGGCCTGAGGTTCAAACACTGCGCTCGTGCGAGTTTTGAGCCCGAGCTCTCTTCGATACGCACGGGTGTCTGGAAGGTCTCTCACGGAAAGGATGGTATGCCTTTTGCTGTCGCTCTGCCGATGTACGTTGAACCGGGACATCCTCTACTGAGCCATGTGCAGGCACGAGTGCGTGCTATCTTAGGCGTCGGAACACCATTCTTACCAGACATGTGGTTTGATGCTCAGGGGAGTGTGGTGCTCCGGTCTGCGCCTGCGGATTATCCCCGCTTCCAGGCCTTCGCCCGCTCCCTGTTGCATTTGCCACCCCTGTCGCTGACTGAGCACGCGGCTTCAACTTTTTCCACACGTAGTTTTCGTCGATTCCTTCCAACCGTTGCGGATGCCCTCCAGCTTTGCGACTCTGATCGCCTCTGCTTGGGCAATTGGTCCGATGGCCGCAAGCTGCCTCTTCCTGTTCGGTACAGCTCGGAGCGACTGGAGTCTGCTGCGCAGGTTCGGCGGCTGTGCTTAGCCTCGGTCCACCATCTGCTTAAACACGCGCCGCTTTGCGACTCATGGTCTGGCCTCCGTGCGGTGGCCCCTCATGTCGCTCGCTTGCGGTCGAACATCGCCACCTCCTCTTGGGGTCCTGGCGTGCGTGCCATCCCGGAGCCGGATCTTGTTGAAAGCAGCCCGGTGTCCACGGAGCGAGCATCTTCCTCTGGAGGCTCTGATTCCCCTTCCAGTGATGCCTCTACGGAGTATCTGCTGGCCCCGGCCGGTGATGCTCCTACCGATCCGGAGTCTGTCTGCTTTGTGTGCCCGGCCAAAGGCCTCTGGCATGCTGCTGCAGAACCTCAAAGTCTCACACCGCTGTGCTCCAGTCGTGTTTTCCGTCAACAGGGTATTGTGTGGGCCACTGGGCTCACGGCCGCGCTGGACCTTCATGGAAAGTTCTGTGCGCCGTGTCTCCTCAAAGTGGCCCCCGAAACTCGGCTGGCCATCCTGTCCCGGGCAACGCCCCGCTCGTGATCCGGCTAGCCGCTTGCGCAGAAACAGGCACACACCGGGTCGCTGCGCTCACGTTTTCAAGTGCTTTGAAGTTTTGCACATGTTTTTTTTTCAAATTTGTTTTCCGGGTTTCGGGCGGTGACGCATATTGTGCCTCCTGTCACCCGCAGTTTCCGTTCAAATCGTGGCTTTCCGTCTCTGACATGGCTTCTGGCGTGGAGCGCTTCGAGCTCCTGCTCGTCAATGAACACAAGGTCGCCGCAGAAGTCTTTCACTCTCTCAAGCACATGGGGTGTGAGAGCGTAGCAGACTTTGTGGGTCTGTACACCGAGGCTGACTATGAAGACGGGCTGAAAGAAGTTCTCCAGAAAACTGAGACCTTCAAGGACAATCGAATCCAGCTTGCCCGCTTGCGCGTGGCATGGGCCCGAGCCAAGCAAGACTTGAGCGCCACCTCCTCTGGCCCACAAGAAGAGAACCTCGAGGCCCCTCTTCCGCCAGAAGTTCGGCAACGCCAAGAAGATGCTTTCTTCGCCAAGTACAATGTCAGGTTTCCTCCTGACCTTCTCCCTGCAGCCACTTTGTTTGCGCGGCACTTTCGCGAACTTCGCAGACAACACAAAGAGCTCGATGACTTGGCTCGTGTGAAAAGTGCAGCTGAATCCTCGACAGCACCAGCTACCGAGGTAAAGCAACTCGGGGACTTTCGTGTGGTCCTCAAGGCTGAGCCTCCGGCCGTCAGCTTCAAAGACCTCATCAGCTTGCTTCGTGCTCATGAGATTCTCCTCAACAGCTGGGCCATGGCTGGCACAGCAGAGCGAGACTCAAAGTTACTCCCGGGAACCAAAGTCTTGGAGTTCTCCATGTCCGACAACCTGGCCTACCGCACCTTTGCTGCAGAGCGCCTTCGGCGCTACCCCGGAACTGTGACGCAGGCCATCCAATGGTTCCTCGACCGAGATCGCCAAACACGCTTGGCCGCCATCACCTTGTACCAAGACGAATGGCCCTTGGGTGAAGCTCTCAAAACAGCCTATGAATCCAAGACAGCAGTCCTATGGCAGGTCGGGGGGTAGTGGCGTTGGTGCTGTGGATGACGCCTTGTCCTCCAAGCCTCCTGAGCCCCCAGCGCCGAAACGCCTCCGCGTTGACCGGGCTGGGTCCTCTCAGGTCGACACATCCACAGGGAAGACCATTTCCGCCAAGGACCTGTGCGAGAAGTGGAACAAGGGACAGTGCACTCGTCGCCAAGCCGAATGCAGTGAGAAGAAGCTCCATCGGTGCTCCTTTCCAGTTGAGGGAGGTTTTTGCGGAGCCTGGCAACACCACGCCCTCAACCACAACAAGAAGTCTCGGGGCTAGGGACAACTCCTCACTGCTGGCCTGACCAGCAGTGAGGTCGTCCCTGCAGCTTCTCCTTCTCCTGGCGCTGACAAGCCCTCGGAAACTTGGTTTCGTGATGTATTATCCCTTTTGCCTATGTCGGACATTCCTCATGAGGTCATAGCTACAGCATGGAAATCCTTTGTGACTGTTCCCTTAGAACCTTTCCAACGTTTCCACGTTTGGGCGGCCCAACATGGTCTTGACAACCCCTTTGGCCTTGACTGGGAAGCCCTGCGACACTTCGACCCTGCACGTTCTATGAAACAATCCCGTGCTTCTATGGTCGACCCCTTCATTGACGTGTCTTTGCCTCCCAGGCAGCATTTGCAAGCAGCCCTCGCTTTGTCTAGCCCTTTTGCACAAGAAATTTTGTTGGAAAAGGACTTGCAGTTCGCGGTGCATGAGGCTGTTTGCGCAGGGTTGGATATCATGCGGGTCCGCAATGAGAGTTACGCGGCTTTCCGCTCCCTGGGGCGAGCTTTGCTTCCCATAGATAATGTGTTGTTAGCAGCTCGACATGTCCACCACGTTCCCGGTTTCCGTCCCGCCCTGACGGCCGCACTGGTCAGTATTTTGGACTGGCCTGACCGTGGTTTGCCAGAGTGTTTGTGTCGGGGTTTTCCGATTGTTGGAAGCATCCCTCCGTCTGGGATATTCAGGCCCACGTCTCCTGAGCCCTTACCTGAGGTAGCTCTTCTGGGACATGATGCCATATCTTATGTTGATGCGCTCGAATCTGACCTTCGTGTTCACCCCTCCGCTGCCATCATTCTCGAAGAAAGTACCAAAGAACAAGATTTAGGTCTTTTGGGGTCGTTCCACAGTCGAGCCTTTTTTTGATAATCTCTATGGTATCGGTCAATGGCGCCCCTTGAAACGCCACACAGTTCACCAGCATGACAAAGAACGCCCAGTGGACGATGGTAGAACCGGGAGGCACAATGAGTGCACCCAGCTTCACGAGGCAATTGTCAACCAAAGACCTGACTTCCCTCTAGCTGTTGTTAAGTTTTGGTACCAGGATGCATTACAGTTTCTTCGGTCTCACCACCCGGCAGCTTCCCCCAGCGACTTACCTCAACATATGCCTTGGCTTGAGGTTGTGGCTGGCACAGAAGACCTTTGGAAGGGCTACCGCCAAAACCATCCCTTGAAAGATCATATGTGTGTAAACATCATCACTTTTGTTCATCCACATTCCAAAAAAACGTGTCTATGCTCAGTTATAGGGTCTTCCATTCGGCCTTGCGTCGGCCGTCAATCAATTTAATCGTGCCCCGCAACTCTTCACTGCTGTTTGTCGTCGTGTTTTTTCGATGGTTGCCGGACATTATTTTGATGATTCTATACAGTTTGAGTATGCCCACCTCGCTGGTGCTCACAAGACTCTGTTCATCCGCATTTTGGAGACTTTTGGCGTTCTCATAGGACACCATAAGCGCCAACATATGACCTCCATGCCCCGTTTTTTGGGAATGGTCACTGACCTCTCCCGTCTCAATGACGAGCATGTTGTCACCCTCACATCTTGTCCTGAAACGAAACAGCGAGCGCTGCGGATGTTGTCCGCATTCTTGTCCAGTGGTCGTGTCACACCTGCTGAAGCCGCTAAGGCCCGTGGCCTCCTCAATTGGTTAGAAATGTCGCTCTTGGGCAAACCTCTTACGGCTGCCTTCTCCGGCCTCATCGCCCGGCAGTACTTCGACCACACCAATGCGTTAACTCCCAGCTTGGCACTCTGCCTTCAGTACTTGCAGCTGGCCCTCTCGATCGTACCATCTCGCCGTGTGCCCGTATACCCCCGACTCACGGAACCCGTCATCGTCTACACTGACGCATCCACTGCTGCGCCAACTCCGCTCGGCTTCCGCCTAGGCATTTGGATCTTGTGTGATGAGCGTATTTGGGTTGACAGCATTGATGTTCCCAAAGAGGTTGTTGTGACCTGGGCACCTCGCCAGACTTACATCAACCTACTTGAACTACTCGCCGTTCCTTTGCTCGCAGTATCTGCTCCAGAACTTCTCAGAAATCGTGACGTCCTGTGGTTCCTTGACAACCAAGCAGCCTGGCGAGCTATCATTCGATCTGCCTCCTCAGCTGCGGACGTTGGTCACTTGTCCCTGCTGGCAGGCCTTCAATTTGCTCGCCTGCGATGTAACCCTTGGTTTGAGTGGGTCCCCTCCCAACAAAACCTCAGCGACCCCTTGAGTCGCTTAGGGTGGGCAGACCCTGCTGTCGCTCATGCCGTCCAAACGGGTGCCTGGACGCCTCTGCGGCTTGCGCCAATTTGGCACCAGCTAGCGCCCGACTTGCACACCATTTCGTCTTTCCTTACAGCGTTGGAGTGAATCTGAGCCGGCGTTGGGGTAGTCAAATTTGCTCCTTCCGCGTAAACACCAACGCTGTAATTCCGCCGTCTGGATTGGATGATTGTGGTGATGGTGTTTGAAAAAGTTGTCTTGCCTGCTGCGTCATGCTTGCTTGTGTTTGATTACGGTGATGCTAGGTGTGTTTAGGCCTGGCAGGCGCTGGGTGCACACTCCATCACTGAATCTCACTGGCATGCATTTCCGCTCACTCAGGCTTCAGTCACCATCTTAATTGTCCCCTCCCGCATCCGCCCTCTCTCCCTTGGCCACAGCCGGGTGATTGCGGTTGTGGCCCTTCTCCTCCTGCCAGGAGCTTGAGACGGCCTGTTGTTAAACAACTCTCGTCTCTCCTCGCGTTGAGCTCCTGACTCCGGGGTAGTCAAATTTGCTCCTTCCGCGTAAACACCAACGCTGTAATTCCGCCGTCTGGATTGGATGATTGTGGTGATGGTGTTTGAAAAAGTTGTCTTGCCTGCTTGTGTTTGATTACGGTGATGTATGTATGATAACTGTGGCATACCACCAGATCCTGTAATATGATATTACGAAAGCCAGCCTTCGTAGAAGGCGCTAGCGGAGTTGTGTCTGGCGAACGAAGTGAGTAGTTAGGGGGTCTGGGGGGGTGGCCCGAGAAAGGGACACGTCAACTCAGCACATGCTGGGGGAGGAGGGTGCTCCGAGGGAAGGTTTTTTGAGGTTGTGTTGGAGGTGATTTTTGAGGGGTGGTGATGCAAGAAATGCCAAATGCATCATTTGCATCATCTGAATGGAAAGGTGTAGTTGGCACCTTGCAAGGTAGAGAGACCTAGGGTAGCTATAGTGCAGCTACCAGGTATAGTACTTCAAGTTCCCTTTCCGTCAACCGCTTGAGAACCTCTACACACGCACAGCAAGCCACAGCCTTGAAGTCTCATTCGTGCTTTGAACTTGTATAGGTGTGTAAGAGGCTAAGAGGTATAGCAACATACTACCTGAGAAGCTGCAAAACGAAAGCC